AGCGACCAGCATGGATCAGCTCTAGGCATGATGAAGCGGATATCATCCTCTTTTGGAAGACCAAACAAAGTAGTTTCGCTTTCACAACTAAACACACGGCGGGCTAGAGTGAGGAACGGCCGGAGGCCGGGAGTGAGGAACGGCGGGCAGGCTTGAGAACGGCGCAGCCGGCGGATTCGACGAAGGAGCGTGGATTTGAGACTTTAGTCTTTGCAACTTTACAGATCTTCTTTATGCACCAAGAGCTTGTAACACTCCAAAGAGAAAGGAAAAATTGAAATCGCATCATATGACCCCTTTAAATTTTCATGACAGTAATAGTCCTGAAAACAGGCTTAACTTTTTTTCTTCTGTAAAATATATATTATTTTGTTTATTTGTTTGCTATTCGAGCTGATAGTCTAGTCAAAATGATTTTCTCGTGTAATCGACAGTATTCGCCAATGCCCTTGATAGTGAAACTTATTTCGAACCTGGAATATTTCTTTAAGCTGCCAAAGCACTGGTTTAGAAAGAGTTAAAGTATTATCTTAGACGTGTTGTCTAGATATTGCTATCCTTTGAAATGCATTTAATCCCAGTGTGTTCCCTTAAACGCGCACCAAACCTGCACTGAACCGTCTGACATGTTAAAACACTGGCACAGAGGTATTCGGTTCTTCTGCCGATCGTAGTAGTCTTGTAGTTTTTGCATTGTCTTTAAATGTTCTCGACGTGTTCCTGATGTTCACACAACACACTGATCGAATCCATCTTTCCTGTTCTCCCGAAACCATGTGTAGATTGCATGCTGAATTGACACAAACCCAGTTGCTTATTTATTAACTGCTAGACCTTTTGTTAATATTTGTCTCGGCGCTGCTGCTACTGCCTTCAACTGACTGCGATCTGATTGGCTGAAGAGAGCGTGCCACGGCTTTGGCCTGGGCTATGGATCTGTACCATAGTGGCGTGAGACAGAAAAGAGATGACAAAAATATATATTTATATTTTTCCTAAAAGATGATATTGCAAGAGATGGTGTTATTTAAAGGACTTTAGTTTAGTTTTTTTGCCTGAGTTGTGGTTTCCATTGTAAAGTGTGTACAGTGTGTTTTTGGGCACTTTCAGCCCTGGAAAAATCTTAAGTCTTATCAAAGGGATAAATAATTAAAGAGGAAAGCTCACGAGTGCATCTGTGTGGTTTGAGTGCATGAGTATGTGCAGGCATTAGTACTAGACTGTGCCGACTTTATGTAGAAACATGTATAAAAAGACTATTTTTTGACACAATATACAGTCAAATGCACTTTGATGTGAAGTAGTAACATTTTACCAAGAGAGTTCAGTTTGTTCTGGACTAACAGTGAGCAATACTTAAACAGCATTATTATATGCATTAAACAGCATTTATTAATCTTGGTAATGTTACAATACACTAGCATTCAAAAATGTATGCATTAATGCTTTTATTCGGTAAGGATGTATTACATTGATTAAAAGTGACAGTAAAGACATTTATAATTTTAAAAAGATTTCTATTTCAGAAAAATGCTCTGCTTTTAAACTTTCTATTCCTCAGAATGAAGCAGCAGTTTTCCATATTGATAAGAAATGTTCCTTAAGCAGCAGAAAAATGCTCTGCTTTTAAACTTTCTATTCCTCAGAATTAAGCAGCAGTTTTCCATATTGATAAGAAATGTTCCTTAAGCAGCAAATCAGCATATTATGATGATTTCTGAAAGATCATGTGACACTGAAGACTGGAGTAATGATGCTGAAATTCAACTTTGCAGGAATAAATTACATTTTAAATATATTCACACAGAAAACAGTTCTGTGAAATGATAATTATATTTCATATTATTGTTTTTACTATTTTTTTCTTGAAATAAATGCAGCCCTGGTAGCATAAATGTAAATATTTTTTAGCAAATTTTGAATAAAACTGTACAATAAAATATAAATATTATGGTAAAAAAATTGTGAGCATAATATTCAAAAACATAAAAAAAAAATAAAAATCATACAAATCCCAAACTTTTGAACGGTAATGTACATTTTTAGCAAATTTGGAATAAAACTGTACAATAAAATATAAATATTATGGTAAAAAAATTGTGAGCATAATATTCAAAAACATTAAAAAAAAAAAAAAATCATACAAATCCCAAACTTTTGAACGGTAATGTACATTTTTCACATTACAAGTTCTAAATTGTAAAAATAGTTTATTGTTCATGATGCATAATGTAAAGTGTTTCCCATAAAGCGTATAATTACAGAACAGAATAATAGAGATGTCTCATCCAGGACATGTCTTACCCTTGAGAGAGAACATTTTGTATGTTTTTGCCCAGATAAGTCTAGCATAACATGCAAAACCAAGATAAAGTACCTGCCAGATATTGCAAAATCTCAATCACCAAATACTGCAATTGCATTTCACAACACTTCTTGTCTTTAAAAGCTGTTTTGCAGAAGGAAGCAGGGCCCTGACAAACATGCCGGTGACATGAGGATGTTGTGATCTTGCTGAACATCTCTGTGATAAGATCGACAGCGCTGGCTTGCTTACTTTGGTGTGTCTGAAAGTTCACAACACTGCGTTTTCAGGGATTATGTGGCAACGGAAGTGACATAGTCACTCGAAAAGCCCAAGATCTCCGACTCCTGTTTCGTGGCTTCTGTCTGTAGCTCCTCTGAAGGCAGATCTTGCTGCACAGAGGACAGGTAAGTGAAGTTTGTGAGATCTGTGGCAAGATGGCAGGATGGTAGCGTGACTTTAGGAGTAATGAATGAACAACTCGGATCCTCTGCGCCTGTCAGCCATGTTTTCTCTGTTGTGATGGGTCGCACGTCTAAAACCTCGACGTCACACCATTTACAGTCCTCTATCATCAGAGTATGGATCTTTTCACTCGCCTTAAAAAGAACAGAAAAGAGTCAAAACTGTGAAAAAATACAGCACTCAAAAATATAAGAATAGAAAACAACAGCACACAATAATTAGGGTACATTGTAAAAAAATTATTTTTCAAAGTAAAAAGATTACCGGAGTACGTTTTAATATTTTCAGTTTTTCTATTAAAAATTTTTACAGTTAATTCAATATGTTACTTGCCAATTTGTAATTGTCAGTTACTAGCAATTTCTGGGTGAAAATTATATCTACACCGCATTTTTTCAGTGTAACACTCCACAATATCCTTGCCTTAATGTCCAATAAAAAAAACAAAATGTGTGTGTGTATATATATATATATATATATATATATATGTTATTTAGACTTTAACTGAAATAAAATAAAATAAATTATAAAAAAGAAACTTTAAAAAGAAAACGAAACTATACGATTTCATTTCAACTATACAATTTTATTTTATTTAGTTTTAATTAAAGTCCCCATGAAATCAAAATTAAAGTTTTTTGGGTGTTAGTATCAATATGTTAGTCTTAAGGTTATCTATAAGGCAGTGTGCTCCAAAACAGTGACAAAATT